ATTAACGGGATTTATGCTGGGGGAATTGTGTTTGTGAAGGGCTAGTAAATTGTTTCCTCAATCTGGAGGATAATTTTTCAAGACCTGGCTCTGCAAAAACAGTAGAAAAGGACAGGTTATAAAACTGTTCCTCTTCTTGTTAACATTTTTGATGCTGGTCCTTGAATTTTTGCACCCACTTGGACGTGTCTTTCTGTCTGTGAACCAAGGCCTACAAAACTACGAGATTTCTGTAGCATTTCATGGAAGAGGCCACTGAGTTGGAAGGCATCAGTGACCTCTCATGTAAAGAACAAATTTCTGACAATCATCTGTGAAGCTTTTTTGAAAGGTTGACTGTGCATGCAAAAGAGAGGCATCTTACCATCCCTCATCTCTGGATAGACTTCATGATTTTAAGAGCATTTGTGCACAAGTAAATGCTTTCACATCTCCAAAGTGTTGAGTTTCACATGAGCATCTTCAAAACTTCCATTTGCTTTGGTGTTCCAGTCACTCATTCTGTCGAAATACTGACGCGTGTAAGTGCCGGATTTTGTGTCCCTGTGAGTGGTTAGAAAGTCTGTATATGAGGTAAATGACACTTGAAGTGCTAGCTAATGGAAACTGCACTGTGTATAACAATTATACAGGGGAGAACTGTCCTCATGAAAATCATCACTTATTGAGGAGGGTTCTCCTCTTCAAAATACAAAAACCCTCTTGGTTTCTATTTTTTTTCCTTCTTTTTATTTTTTTTCCCTTTGAGAGAGGATAGAAATGTCATATTTGTATGTGTGTCTATGGGAAGTGAATAAATTAGAATAAGGATGCTAAATCAGTGTGGCTGGGAAAAGTGAAATATTAAATATAACTAGAAAATTCATAAGAAAGAAAAGGTAAAACAACAATAAGTTACTCACATTGAAAAAAAAAATTGCAATAACATTTTTTTCCCCAAAAATAAATAAAAGACAGTGGATTTGAAAACAAAAAGGGCGGGCCCAAGGTCTCAAGAGGTCCCCAAACAAAGCTTGTGGAACGCAGTCCTAGAAAGTTGTTGGTACATTTGTTTTTTATTAACATTTTTCAGTGATTGCTTTTTCATGTGATCTCTTTAAATTTCTACAGTCAAACAGTAGGCCAGGTCAGAGTTGCTGAGCACATCTCTCATGGTTAATCAAAATACATAAAACACCAAGAAACAGCCCATGAGTCTGAAATGACATACTTACTTCCCCTTGGTATTGCAAGCTCTTTTCCTGGATTTCAGTTAGGACTTCTCTTTTTGGAAATCCTGCAAGTCTGATTTTTTTTTTTTTTGGTAATATTATAGAAGACACCATTAAATAATTCTTTAAACTCTGAGAGTTTTATTGATGTGTCTATTGCTAATTTAAGAATTTCTCCTGGCCAAGTGTGAGGTCTTCTTAATTCAGGAAAATTAATAAGTTTGTCTTTTGTCTTCCTTCGTATGGTAATGTAGGAGTTTATTTTATATAGTCATGATGAAACTGGCCATTGAAGGGAAGTCAAACTTGGTAAGGTGTGTGACCTAACATCAGAGTACTGTAAGTGAACCAAACACCCCTCCCCCGCTTTTTTTTTCAACTTAAGTATATGGATGTAATGTGTCTTTGAAGAGTATAGCTTCCCTTGAATATTGGCAAAAGAATTCTCTTGAGGTGCAAAGTCAGAGGATTTAATGGGAAGATGGGAAGGGGTGCAGTTAAACTGTTGCACGTGAGTGTTGTGCCGTCCTAACGTGAAAGCCTTTTAGGTGGTTGCTTACCTTAGAAATTGGTCATCATATTATACAGATTTCTTTTTCGTGTAACTTCTTTGTTTTATGCCTTTGTAAATGGCCACTCGGCATGTTTGTGAATAGAGCAGCTATTACAACGCGTTTGGAACACCATGTAGCCCCTTACTTCAACAGGAAACCTTTCCGGTTTATGTTGTAACCTTTTCTGTGGTTTTGCATTTCTCTGGTCCTTGTGCACTTTAAAAAAATTGTCTTCCTAAAGGCAGTTTCTGCTTGTCTGCCTCCCTCTGACTGTTGCTCGCTGGGAATGGTGTAGAACCAGCTTGCCACCTGTAATCAGGTTTGTAAAAGCAGGAGAATTTTGAAGATTTGAGGGGAAAAAAACCCCAAACCAACCCAGGACAATTTCTGTATACTAGCAGCTAGGCTGAGGAGGGAGTCACAGGTTTAGCATGCCATTCTGAGGGAAAGGCAGAGAGAAGTCATTTTACTTGGAAGCAGCTCTGGAGCAGTCACAGCACAGTCTGTCATGGTTGGGATGTCACAGAGGACATGAGGGATTCTTGGATTACCACAGGATGAGAGGGTTTGTTGGCAGCGGTGAAAGAAACAGTCACTGGAGTGCATCTGCCGTTACTTCTGCTGCTTGACTAACAAGTGTATCTTCCTCTTTCTTCCTCTTCCTAGGTGTGGACTGTGGGGTTCCACCTTCTGTTTTGAATGCACATCCAACGTCTCTAAGCGGGACCACATACGGAAGTGAAGTTACATACAACTGTGTTCATGGTTACTTTATTGCCAGCGGGAATCAGACGGCAGTCTGCAATGCCAGGGGACAGTGGGATGGCACTGATTTGGTGTGCAAAGGTAAACCAAATCTGCCTGCAGATTTGCTTAGCATAGATACTGTTTCAGCCACCATAATCATAGCGACCGTCAAATAGAGACATCCTCTTTGAGCATTCAGTATATACATTCTTTGGGCCTATGAAGTTCAGTCACAAGGCAAAAGCGGTATGTTAAACAGCCGGAGATTTTTTAATCTGTGTTGCTAATGAAGTTGCAATTAATTGTTAATCACTCTAGGGACAAAATCCCAGTGCATATCAAGCATTGGGATTTACAAGAGATGAAAATTCAGCCTAGATTGCTGCTATTTTTCTTGCTCAGTATCTTCTCTGTGGTTGATGTCACTACCCAGCAGTTAGCATCCCCTTAAAATTCCCATATTCAGGCAGGTTCCAGTTGCAGACTGTGATTGTTCAAGCATGCTATTGTTATTTGACATGGGTCATAAATCCCTCTTGTTACTCTGATTTGGAAGAATATAGCCTGACAGGTGCTTTGATAAGAATAAACAGGTACATTTAAAAAACAAGTGTTGTGCCTAACAGAATTTCTGATGTGTCATTACGCTGAGCTCACATTATTAATTAATGTGACCTTGGGGTAATTACTGTCTTTAGTCAGTTTTTACATTGGCACAACTTCAGTTTTCCATTCACTGGATGATTAGTATCTTTTCAACTTTGTACAGCAGAGTCAGGGCTTCTGTTCTTTGCAATCAAATGTAGTAATTTTTTTGAATGTGTCATGTCCAAGTTACCACCACTCTCTACTTTTCGAATCTTCTTTAATACTCTTACTCTGGGCCACCGTTCTGAATAGAGGGAGGTTTGCCTGTTACACAGAAGCATACTTCTGCTTTTCGTTGTGATTGCAGGATGGCCACAGGCAGTTAGCTGGAGTTAAGCAGTAGTAATTTTTTGTATTCCATCACATACTGCCCTTCTGTAAGTTAAGTGTGTTCTTGCATGTGCATCAGATAATCTAAAGCTTGTTCTGGTGGTTTATAATGATGATTCATAATAGATGCATGCATTAACTTTTCCTTTAAAGGTTGTACAAATCATGATTTTATACACTTTGGTTTTTACTTCTTTGTTTTCCTTCTTCTGAGTCGAATTTCACAATCGCTTATTTTTCAAAGTTTTAAAGCATTTGTTTTCTGCACATAAAATTTGGTGAAGGTAAGATTATAATTCATATGTCGTTTACTTCATATAAATTAAGTGATGCAGAATCTTTTAATAGGGTGTAACGTTCATTGTGGATTTGAACGCAAATTTTAAGCTGAAGTAATATTCCTCCATTGATTTGATGTTCACACTTTATTCTTTTTTGTTCCCTAATTTTATTATGAAGCAACTGAGCAAATGAGTTAATTTATAAGTGCATTACTCCAACTTTCTAATTATCTGTAAAAGTGAGCTCAATAATCCATCAAATTTTCCCCCAGAAGTAGTGCTCCTTCTACTTGTTCGAGCAGCTTCTCCTTTTTTCAAAGTTGGAAATAAATCCACTGGCAAAGGAACATAACCTTCTTGATGCTGTTCTTCCATGTCACTCCTTGGACTGTCTGTCGTTTTTCAAATCTGTTATCTGTTAAGCAAATATTGTTACTAATGATAGGTAAAATAAAGGAATAAATAGCGTGTGGAGGATAAGGGAGCATTGTGGGAAGATAGATCCACTTGGAAAAGTTTGCTTAGAGATCCTTATTCTCCATTTGTACACGAGACACTTGTTTTATTTTATGGTTCATCTTGAAGGGTAAATGCCCCACCCTGCTAGAAAATCTCCTGCCATAAAATCCAGGGTTCTAAATGGCTGGCCTGACTTCTAGAAATCACTAGGAAGTGAAGAAAAGTGACATGTAGAACACTTCTTTATGCCTTGCCTGTTTTCCTTGGCAGGTTTTGTTATCTTTGTTTTTTTTCTGTTTCAGAAATAGACTGTGGCAAACCTTTGCTGATTCCACACACAGAAATGTTCTGGCACAACTCTACCACTCTATGGAGCAGAGTATACTATCAGTGTAAAGAAGGATATTATTTTAATGGAGGCAAGAATTTTTCAGAGTGCACAATAGATCGGTCATGGGAGAATATTACGTACGTATGCAAAGGTAAGTGTTACTGTAGGAGGTTGCTGTGGGGCATGCTATTTAAATTGTTTCTCATTCCTGTTCCGAAGGTAGGAACAGGAGGAAGGATGATGGCAAGAAATCCCTTCCTAATGTACGATGTAGGAACGTGGTGGGCCTTGTGAATGGAGAGGTCACGTAAGAGAAGGTTAACCATGCAACAGTTTCTAGTTGATACTACAGATCTTTCTGTAGCTGTCATGCTTTTAGTTTCAGACAGCATGGGAGTGTTACACCTGGAGTTTCGTTGCTGCGCTGAGAAGTTTCAGCTTTAGAAAGACAGGGGAATATCGCCAGATGAGCAGATGACATTTAATGACATGTTGTGGGCTTAATACTGTAAAGTGCGCTGCGATGAAAGTAGGCGTGGTCAAATTCAAAACCTTTTTTTTTTTATTCTCTCATAATGCCCAAAGTAAAATACATCCATGATTGCCTTTTCAGCTTAAATCTAGTCATCTGAATTTCAGTCCAGAAGGATTTTCTTATAAAAGAGTGAGTCCTGAGAAGGGACATCTGTAATGAAGGTGGTGTCGTACTGTGGGCGTTGAGACAGGTGTGATGACATTTTAGTAACAGCCAAAAAATAGCAGAAGTTTTTGACTGTGGCTGGTGTGCTCCTTAGTGTTCTTCTGTGTCCTTAGGAAGCTCTGTGACTGTCGATCTCTTATTCTTAAGCAGCAGTGCTGTCTTTTGCAGATGGTAATGTTCCTGTAGCTTTGTAAGATCCACATGTTTTTCAGAAGGACTGGAAGTGTGTCTTTGACTGCTACCACTTCACAGACCAAGCCTCTACACAAAGACTTGCCACTTGATGCCTCTCTTACCTCACTTAGCGTCTTGAGCACGCACTGTGAATATAAAAGATGTAACATCAAATAAAATGAGCATGCAGAAAAGCAGTTACCTCACTTTCTGTGGTAGCCTAATAAAAATGGGACTGCTGTTGTTAGAAGTCATAAGTAGTGTTTAATTTAGGCAATTTGCATAGCTGTACTTTCTCAATTGGTTTTGAAGTCAGCATTGTGTAGAGTGGCTAAATTAATCGGGTGTCAGTCTTTGCAGTGTGTTTATCACTCTGAAATTTTGAAAGGCCTAAACTTGCAGACACACTCACAGGATTTCCATGGATTTCAGTAAGAGCTTTGCCAGAGGCAAAAATACAGACTCCAGCTCTAGCTGTTGGATCAGAGCGCTAGGTAAGGCAGAGCTATGGTCACGTAGAATGGAAACAAACTTTTAAAAAATAGCCTAACTAGTCCAGTCTCCTTTGGGGAAAAAAAAATCATGAACAAGAAATCAGTACAAAGGTCTTCAGCTTCTTAACTTCTACATGTTTCACACTTAATGGAGGTAAAAAATGACTTGCAAATGAAATGAAATTTCTGTGTCAGTAATGGTGCCTTTCAGATGTACATGGTCTTAAAGGTGTGTGTAATTATCAGTAATTCCCATTAAAATGTGGGAAAATCTTATAATAGAAGTTGGAAAAACATTTGTCTTTTCCTACTGCCTGAAAAATCTCATTAGAAGTAAGGAAGTTAAGAATTTCCCATGAGCAGTTTCTGCTTTGGCAAATAATCACTTCTTAATTTCTTAGGCTGTGATTGCTATGGAATGCCCTTTATTCACATTTTCTGTTGGGGCGTATAATAAATGTGTATATATATATATATATATAGATAGAAGTACGTTTAATAGTAGCTCGTTTAAATATATTAAAATTACTTAAGAAAATTAATTTTACTGTGATATGCTGATTAGATTAAGCCACCAGCAGTGAAGTCTGGCAATGGTCAGCTGGATTGCAGTCTTCCTTTCCCAGCCCTTACTTGCATACATAAACTCAAGAGACTGAAGTGGAGGGAACACACCAGCAATTAAATACCTGCTCTCCAGTATGCCAGATGTCTGAGTCAGGGCATCCTGTATGGCTTTTTCT